AAAAATCTTAAATAATCTATAATAGATAATGAAATAAAATTGAATATATGAAATTATACATTTATAATGGAAATGAAGATTGTTTGTTAACTTTGGAACTGGTGATTTTTTGTGTTTTTTTTATTCCTGTGTGTTTTAAAGTATTGTGTCATTTGTAATGCTTGTAAAATGTTATTGAGAGGGTGGATTAGAATTTTTATAATGTGAATTTATTTTTATCTTTTGCATTTCATTATGTCTTTTTGTATGTTTGTAAAAGCTTGATTTAAATGCAATGTTTTAAGTGTGGACCCCAGGAAGAATAGTCTCTACTACAGTATAAACTAATGGGGATCCTTAAATAAATAAATAAACAAATAAACAATTATGTGTTCTTTAAGGAGCATTTACAACAAAGCCAATTTACAGAGTGATAGATTGTGTCCAGCTTACAAAGGACACCCTTACAATCGTCTCTGTAAATTATGTCTCTATAACCCAACACAGGTAGAATGTGGTTTTTTTTCAACTATGGTTTGTTTTGCAGCCAATTTAAAACAGCTAAAGTTTAAAATATACACTAAGGTTACAATCTTTTTTATTTTCTTATACATGTCATATAGGAAACCATCCATCCATCCATCCATCCATCCATCCATCCATCCATCCATCCATCCATCTCTTTTCCCAGTATCAGGTCTCTGAGGCAGCATCCTGAGCAGGGAGGACCAGCCATCCGTTTCCACAGCCACCTCCTCCAGACCAGTCAAGAGACATTGTCTATCTAGTGTGTCCTGGGTTTTCCCTGGGGTCTCCTCCCAGTTGGACATGTCCAAACAGCCAGGGGGCGAAAGGTTCAGTGATACATACTACATGCATGACCGCTATATAGATTAGATTGTTTCCTTCAGGTGTATTTTATACCTTATCTGTTCCAAACAATGTTATATGTTTCTTTTTACCTGGAAAAAAGTAACCAGACTTTTTCCTGACTTGTTTTCTGATCTGGACCAACATCCTTTTAGCACATTAGATCGCAGTGAACCCAGTGAAAAAACTAAGCTTGTACTTTTTTTTTTTGGGGTGGGGTGTGGGGGGGACAAATCAATTCAATATATTGGACTTAAAATCTAACAAGCAGTATGCTGATGTCTCCCATCGCTGAGCAGGTGACCAGTATTTTTGTAGTTTTTGAGATGAGTGTTTTTCTGGACTGGAATTGAACAGGGAACACGTAAACAATAAAGTCCATGCTCAATAATCCAGGTATACAATCCAACATTTTTCAGTCAGGTCATCTGGACAGTTTCTTTTTTTTGTGCTGAAACGTTTCGCCTTTGATCCGGAAGGCTTCATCAGTCAAGGAAACACACAACAAAACTGATTCTTCCTCCAACAGCTTACTCCAAAGTGGAACAAACCAGTTCTGCTTTGGTTTGCCATCTAAACCATCTAATCACAAGCAGAACTGGTTTGTTCCACTTTGGAGTAAGCTGTTGGAGGAAGAATCAGTTTTGTTGTGTGTTTCCTTGACTGATGAAGCCTTCTGGATCGAAGGCGAAACGTTTCAGCACAAAAAAAGAAACTGTCCAGATGACCTGTCTGAAAAATGTTGGACATGTAAACAATGTTTTTGATGCAAGATATTCAAGTGGGTAAGAGTTACACAAAGTAGAAGAAAAGAGGAAGGTTTTTTTTTTTTTTTTGCTGTTCGAAGGGATACAGAGTGTCAGGGATCCTGACGAGTAGAGAGAGCAGTTTTATTCACCACCAGAGACTAATCTTCGGCCAACCCACAGACTAGCCTAATCATTAGAGGAAACTTAACTTTAAAAAATAAAAACTAGAAAGCATAGATTCTTCAAATAATCAGGGTGGTCTGGTTACACACACACACACACACACACACGCACGCACGCACGCACACACACACACACACGCACACACACACACATCTGGTGGTGGCAATTTGGGGTTTTGACGTAGCAACCCAAACATTGTAAGGAAACGTTTGCCTAAATGCAGCCACACACTAAATTCAAAGTTGATACCTCACTTATTTTTCAAATTCTGCTCACAACAATCCTGGACATCATCTGTGACAGGAAACAATCTGTAGTAAAATGTGTGCTGCACAGATCAACAGTGTGGCATCATGTTCAACATGAGCCTGAAGCTGGGGAAAGCACCATGGCTGAGGAAGACCTCCTGTGTGGTACCAGTGCCAAAGACCACACATCCAAAAGACTTCTGCAGCTACAGGCCGGTAGCACCGATCTCACATCTGATGAAGACCTTTGAGAAGGTGGTCCTCAACCATCTATGCACCCTGGTGAGGTCTTCATTGGATCTGCTGCAGTTTGCCTACCAACCTGGCATCGGGGTGGATGATGCCATCATCTACCTCCTACACCAGGCTCTGACCCACCTGAAGAAGCCTAGAAGCTCCGTGAAGATCTTGATATTTGATTTCTCCAAAGCATTTCATACCATCCAGCCTGGACTTCTGAAGGACAAGCTGGAGCTGTCAGGAATGGACCACCTGTCCCAGTGGATACTGGACTACCTCACTGGCCATCCACAGTATGTGAGGACACCGGGCAGTGTCTCTGACAGGCTGGTCTGCAGTACAGGAGAACTGTGTTGGCACCGTTATATATTGCGCCGCTCAAGGTGGCTGCATGTTGGAGCAGCTCTGTTACTTTCATTCTGAGATTTTGCTTTTGGAAACTTTAATTCCTCTTTTTCTGGATGTAAATCACATTTTTTTGGATGATTGTTTCCTCTGGTATCAGATGCTGTGCAGCTGGAAAGATTTTTTACAGCCCCAAATCTCAAATGAGTTGAAAAGGATGTTCTGTGGACGCATTCTCATCTACCTGCCAGCTGTGCTCGAGTGCTTGACCACTGAGATCCTGGAACTAGCAGGAAACATGGCTCATGACAGCAGAAGGACAGGATCATCCCTCAGCACCTACAGTTGGCTGTCTGCAGCGACGAGGAGCTCGGCAGACTGCTGGGAGGAGTGGCCATCACTCTGGGAGGAGTTCTGCCTGGCATTTGGGCGGTCCTACAGCCCGGGGGAACCGAGAGGCCAGCCGAGTCTGAGTGGATGGATTGGGCGCATATGCGGCCAGTTTCTTCGGATCTGCTGTGGGATGGACCTTTACAAGAGATCCTTCCTGTCTACAGCCATCAGTATCTATAACAGCTCTTAATGAAATGAGGATAACAAGTTACAACAACAAATAATTTCCCTTTGGGATTAATAAAGTATTTTTCAATTGAATTGGATTGAATTGTTACTGTTCACCCTCTATTTACACTGTGGACATCGCCATCACCTCCCCAGGCTGCCATCTGCAGAAGTTCTCTGATGACTCTGCTGTAGACAGCCTCATCCCAGGTGAGGACGACTCAGAGCACAGTCAGTGGACACAGGACTTTGTGGACTAGTGCCAGCAGAACCACCTCCTGATCAACATGGAGAAAACCAAGGAGCTGGTTGTGGGTTTTGGCAGGCACAGACCCACCACACTGACACCGGTGAACATCCAGGGAGCTGACAATGAGATAGTGGACTCTTGTTGGACCTGGGTGTTCACCTGATCAAAAAACTGGACTGGAGTCACAACACTGATGCACTTTACAGGAAGGGTCAGAGCAGACTCTACCAGCTGAGGTGATTGAGGTCTTTGGGAGTGCAGGGGGTGCTCCTGAAGATCTTTTTGACTCTGTGGTAGCATCAGCCATCTTCTATGGTGTTGTGTGCTGGACCAAAAATGTATCTACAGCTGAGAGGAAGCAGCTAGATAAGCTCATCAGGAAGGCTGGCTCTGTCCTAGGATGCCCCCTGAACCTGGTGCAGGTGGTGGGGGACAGAAGAACTCTGTCAGAAATAACACTGTTGGACAACCCAAAAATTTTCAGTCAGGTCATCTGAACAGTTTCTTTTTTTGCTGAAACGTTTCACCTTCCATCCAGAAGGCTTCATCAGTCAAGGAAACACAACACAAAACTGATTCTGGATGGAAGGTGAAACGTTTCAGCAAAAAAAGAAACTGTCCAGATGACCTGACTGAAAATTGTTGGATTGTATACCTGGATTATTGAGCATGGACTTTTTTTTATTTTTTTACTGTTGGACAACGTCTCCCACCTCATGCATGAAGCTGAACTGGAGCTCCTTCTGTGTCAGACTGCTGCACCCAAGGTGCACAAAGGAGCGTTACGGCAGGTCCTTCCTCCCAGCAGCTGTTAAACTTTATAACCATCACCGATCACAACAAACTTAGTGTTTACATACACAGAGATTTTCCATCTCTCAGACATAGTGTGTTGTTTTTCTATGGTGTGCAAAAGCACATGCACATGTTGAACATTCTTTAGATTATCCTACTCAGGTCACATCTCTTGAATCTAAGTATGTTATTTTTAATAACTGCACGGCATTTATTTTATTTATTTTATTCTTTTATTGACCTCAGTCTCATTGAGTCACGAGAACTTATTTTCAAGAGAGACCTGTTTAGGGAGCAGATAATGGGGGTTAAGGGCCTTGCTCAGGAGCCCAGAGTGAGGCGAATGAGGGTGGAGGAAGGTGTGGGTGTTCCACCTTTTCCACCCACATTTTGATGTTGATGGTACTGGGAGTTGAACCTGCAACTTTTCGATCACAGGCCCATCTTCTAACCTCTTGCTCCACTACTCCCCAATCACCACTCTTATGCTGTAAATGTGCTCTTGTGGTCTCATTCAGTGTCTGATTTGATTTTTTTTCTACCTTTGTGTGACTCTGCATCGTTTGATTGACCTGTCACTTCCTGTTACACGTATTCCAATCTCACAGATCCGATGAAGAACTCAAACCATATTCCGTGTTAAGGGAAAAGACATTTCTCCCTCCTCTTCTTCAGCTTCTTGTATATTTGAAGCTGCCTTGGCATTTCCCTCCTGCGCCGTCGTTAATCTGCTGCTCTGAGCTCTTGGTGAGCCTGGAATGTGTCGAAGTCTTTGGGACAAACTGTTCAGACACACTGCAGATTGTTTTCTGACTCAGGAGGAGTCCTCTGGATTTAATTACATTTTGTTTCACCTGTTTGGTTTGATCAAACAGCTGCGATGAATCAGAGCAACGCTGGATCGGAGTCTTTTCCATATTACTACTACGACTACCCAGACTGGTACTCAAACCCAGAGCCAACCAAACCACCAAAAGAGTGAGTACAATATCCTGAGTAAAATGTGTCAAAATAAAATGTCTCTTTATCATAAACCGACTGAAAAGAAAACAGATCTTTATAGATACAGGTTACATCTTAGTTACCAGTTTCATCTGGGCTGTAATTTACAGACAGAAACAATTCTGATTTTTTTTTTTTTTTTTTTTGCTTTTTCTTTGTCGTTTCACATTCAATTAGCAGTTATAAGATTAAAATCTGTTTTTTTTTTTTCAGAGTCATTTTACCATGTGACCCAACAGCAGATGACAAGCTCTTCCATATATGCATGTTATCAGTTTCTGTAAGTAAAACTCACGCTCAGAGACACGTGCAGACCAACAATAAAACTTCTTGTTTCACATCTTAAAGAAAAAACAACCAAGAATCTGACCACAACAGTGAAGAGATGCAAATCTTCACATTTGTATCTGGACTGAACCGGTGTGATGTAATGTGTCATTTCTGAACAACTGATGAGATACACTTTAAAACGGTAAAGGTAATGGAACTACATTTTTGCGTTATACCACTATATCAGTAAATAAAGTGATAACATTAAGGTAGTAAATATATATTTACATTTACTTTTTAATTGTTCAGCACGTTTTTATAGTAGACGTTGCCTCAGGTGATCCTCAGTTCAATTATGTCTTTTTTGTCTTGACCCATTTACAAATTAAGCTCATTATCAAACTTCTAAAACTGCAAGTAGGACAAACATGACAGACTCAGCCCATGCCCTGCTGCCGAACAGAAATCAGCCTCAGCAGCTCAACAGACTTTAAATGAGACTTTCCAGACTTATAATCACCTACCGTATTTTATAAAGCTGAAGAATTTAAAAGGCTGACTTTCAAAGACAAACACCTGGAGAATTATGCATTAAAGTGAAAGGAGATAAATTGGTAACACGTTGGTGACAATGTGTTTAGGTGATGTTCTAAAAGTGCCATCTACAAGTGCACAAAGACATTGTGATGGAGATCTTTGCCATGACCACTAATGCTTCAGATGGCAACAGGTCAGTTTGCCCCTGCACCAAATTGTACCTTTGCATTCCAACAGGACGTTGGCTTGAAACATAAATGAAGGCTACCTATGGGACAGATCTGGTTGGCAGGCTGTAGACTGAGGAAGTCCTCTGGATGGAAGAAGAAACATTTTTCACTTAAAGAAACTGATCCAGATGACACGATTTAACCTTTTTGTTGAGATCTCCCTGGATGCTTGAGTTTACAAACCTTTTGTGTGAATCATTTTGGCCTTGGTTGTCCTCAGGCAGTTTCTGTGAGTAGCAAGTTGTTCATCTGGACTAAAACACTTTGTTGTACATGATGATTGATTGTTCTGGATGGGTGTGCTCTGCATGTGTTAAAAGCCTACTTTTGAGATTTCAACAGGAGGTTAGCAGATCTGGTTGGCAGGCTGTAGACTGAAGAAGTCCTCTGGATGGGGGACGAAACGTTTCTCACTTAAAGAAACTGGGCCAGATGACACGATTTAACTTTATTTGCTGTAACTTTGCAGTTTTAGTCAATATGTACACGTCTGATTAAAAGAAACCATCTGCCACCTGTCACTTTCTGTCCACTGTGGCACTTTTTGCACCCATTTTCCCCCTTGGTACCCATCCAGGCAGCTACCCCAACATCAGTGAGTACACTTTTGAAACCAAGATGAGCATATATGGACCAGTTTATGATTTTCATCTTTTGTGTGGTAGGGCCTGGTTATTCTGGCCAGTATCCCTGGATGGGTTCTCAATATCTCCAAATATGAAGGCAAAACAAATAAGAAGTGTGACATTTGTATTGTTCATCTTCTCAGAGTGTGATTAACCAAAACCCAGGAAGACTCTAGTCTAGACACTGAAGGTAAGGAATAATATTTTATTTACAGTACAGAGGCTGAACTCAGGAAGAAACAGGTAAGTAGTAGAATGAAGATGTAAGTTTTGTTTTATAGGCAGCAGATCTTCTGCAATGTTTTATTTAAAACAGAGGAGGCTAATCTGGTTGTAGATGTTTGGGTTTGGGGAGGAAGGTAAAATTCCAGGCTCCAGGAAGATGAGTACTGTATGGTAGGTGAGGTTCACAGGTTGGTGTAGGAGAGTAGCAGGTCAGACCAGGACGAAGAGGTAAGTCTTCTGACAGCCTTGATCCTTAAATACAACAGGTGGAAGAAGAAGAAACTCCTCCCTGCCACTGAGGAGCTGCAAAAAGGTGATGTGATGTGCTGGAGCCTAAAGGAATATGTGCATAAGTACATGGAGGGTTGCATGCACAAGGGAAAATATGTACCTTATTTTTCAGCCTATAAGTCACAGTTTTTTTGCATAATTTACATGCCCTGCGGCTTATAGGCTGAAGCAACATATTTATGGATTTGTTCCCATATTTATAAATCCACTTTTGGCTGAGATATGACTGTTTTCATTCATTCTGACTGAAAAAAAAAGAGCAGTACCACTTTCAGCCACAACATAGCAGCAGAGTAGTAGTAGAATTATGGCATGTCGTTGAATCATGTAATAGGGGCGGCTGTGGCTGAGTGGTTAGAGCAATCGTCCTCCATGGCGAGAGTTGGGGTTTAGGGGTTGAACGACTACATAATTTTTAAACTTGACACAATAAAACTCGAGTAGAACTCGAGTACTTGATGACATCATAGGATCTAAAGTTTACCTCTGCTCGTTAGACAGGCCCCCTCCCTCACAGTTTTTAAATCTCGCTTAAAAACACACTTCTATTCCCTGGCTTTCTGCACTGTGTGATCTGTGCTGAGTCTGTGTGCATCACACTGTGTTGGTCATGTTGCGGTTGTTGTTGTTATCCATTATTGTTTCTGTTGGTTTCTACTTTTTGGTGTCCTGTTATGTAATCTGTTGCAATGTGCTTGTTCTGTTTGTCCATGGACAGCACTTTGGTGTGCTTTGTCACTGTTTAAAGTGCTTTATAAATAAATTGGTATGGTATGGTATGGTAAAGTTACAAAAATAAATAAATAAATAAAAACCGCAAAAAAGGTAATTATTTACAAAAAAAAAAAAAGGCCAACAAAACATTGGGAGCATATATTATGCTCCTACCATTTATCATACAGCAAATAAGTCACAGGAAAAACTAAACTATTGGTTTTTATTATTAAACTGCAAACGTGAAGAAACGTGCAGCACGTCAAAAACAAAACTAAAAACAGTGGGGGGGTCGACCACCCCACACCACCGCCAGCTGTGGTGCGCATTAGGTTTAGTTTTAGAGGTTAATATGTTTTATAGATTTTTTTATAGGTTTAGAGATTAATATTTTTTGCTTTTTTTTTCAAAACAAGGTCAGAGAAAGCTGGTTCTGGTTCGGTCGATTGGACCCGGTGTTGCACCATATTCTGTGACCTGCAACAGTGCATGCAACACCGCCTCCTACGGTCACAAAATATGGTGTAACACTGGTTCGCAAGAGATCCATACAGTCAGGAAGTTGTTTCATTTTCTGTTCCCTTACGGTAGTTGAACCAGAAGATTCATCTTTAGTGAAAAATTTCCACACTATTGATGCATTTCTACCAGTTTGTCAAGACTGGGCCTGCTCTGCTCCATCCGTCTGCTGGGAGGAATCCATTTAGTAACCCGCGCCCGGTGCGGATCACATGACACATTACGCAATGACGTAACGGTGGTGTAATGACGTCACCACGAATACTCGACATGAAATTAAAAACCTCGATAGGTGTCCTAGGAATCGATGTGTAGATTACTCGAGTAGTCTGTTAAAGCCCTATTGGGGGTTCAAATCCACCAGCAGTCATACGCCGAAGTGTCCCTGGGCAAGACACTGAACCCCTCATAACCTCTGATGTGTGTCCCATCAGCGGATGAATGTGATCTAAAAGCACTGATTAGTCTCATTAGAATGATTTGTTCAATTAGCTTTGTAGTGATCTAGTAGAGTGCTGTATGCATGGGTAAATGAGGACATGCATGTTTTTGGTCTGTGGGAGGAAACCGGAGCACCCGGAGAAAACCCACGCATGCACGGAGAGAACATGCAAACTCCACCCAGAAAGGCCCCTGGACCAGGGTTTGAACCAGGGACCTGTTCGCTGAGAGGCAGCAGCTCTACCAGTTGCGCCACCGTGCTGCCGTGATGTGTTCAATTGTGTTTTATTTTGTTTGGTCACATTTCACCAGTTTACAGTTGTTAAACCACAGATAAAGTTCAGTTCAATAGCTGTTATGTATGTGTGACAAAATGATAAACATGTTGCAAATATTAAATAACTGTTTGGCCCCATTCACTGCTAAAGTAATAACTTGAAACACATTTTTATTATATTATTAAGACATTTAATTATAAATCACACTTCGATGACCCATGTGTAGTAATATAAAAAGCAATTTGTTCATAAAGTAGAAAATAAAATAATAAATTAATGATCGGTGGTAATTAAAAACAAGTTATTTAAAGAATACTTGAAATATTCAATCATAAAATAAATTTATTTAAAAAGATAGAGCCAAGAAAAACTCAGTCAGCATGAAATAACCTGTAAAATGAATGCGTGTCATTTTTGACCCATGTTGTGCATCAAAGGGTTAAACTGCTCTGATTGCTTTTAGCTTTGAGTTGTTTTACTGCTGGCAGCTACTACACTCTGTTCTGAGGAGCTGTTAGTAGTTAACTATTTATTAAAAGTTGTCCGTGATTCTCAGTGTAACTGATGAAGAGCCATTTTCTTCATCTTAAGACTTTTAACTCCTCTTCATGCTCTCTTAATGTTATCAGGGTAAAATCATGGACCAGGGAAGCTTTGCTAAAGGAAACTTGAATAAATCCACTTTATTCTGCTGTGTGGTGTAAATGTTGTTTTTCCAATCCAAATGCATGTTTTATAGATTAAGGGGTGACAGAAATGTGGATCTTTTTTTCAGTTTGTGATCATGTTGGTCCTGGCAGTTCTCACCAGGAAAAACAAGTTGTGCCAGGGATTCTCACGAGGGTCCTCGAGCATCTTCAGGTGAATTTAGGAACTCTATAAACCAATAAACTTCTTCATCTCTGGTTTAGTGTTTTAAATGTGTACCTGTGACCCCTCAGTCCAGTCAATTTCCTGGACCAGACTCAGCAGAAGGGCCTGGTCATGGCAGTTTATGGACTGATGTTCAGTAAGCTGGCGGTGCTGATGATCTCCCCCGACCCTCTGCCTTTCTTCAAAGACACTCCAGCAAGCATTAAAGGTGTTTCTGTGTGTTTTCATGTATTGAAGCAGGTTGTGTGAGTACTGAAAGTGAAATGAATTATTTTATTTTATTTGTTTCCAGAGTACATGAAGATAATAGGCATTTTCTACTACCCAGTCCTGTATTATCCTCTGCTGGTCTGTGGAACCCTGCAGAACAGCGCAGGTTACGTCTTTGGATCACTTCTTTCTTTCACTCACTTTGGGGTTCTGGTGTGGCAAAAGTTTGACTGTCCAAAGACTCCAGAGGTGAAGCAGCAGCCATAATATAATGTTATTTTTATTAGGAAATGCAAAAGTTTATTTGATTCTTAATTGTATATTTTAAATATTTCATGAAAATGACATTAGAGTGCTTCATGAAACAAATGGGGCCATAAAAGAAGATGAAAACATCTTGTATGATTGGAAATTTATATTTGACTTTTTAACAAGCTTAATTTTGCATTAGTGTTCACATCAAATTACCAGCACAGGTTATGATCTTGCTTCATGTCTCTATTAAGGTTTGAGGTTATTATCTTTGTAGCCACAAGAGGGCAGCACAGCAAACACAACAATAACATTATCTAAAATACTTAATATTCATAACCACTTACGCAAATTGATCTTTCCCTAAAGATTTAAATCTAGAGTTGTCTGTTTTCACTGCTTTGTTAACAATGTTGCTTTTACCTTAAATCAGTTTGTGTAATTTATTATTTTTTTGTAGACAATTAAAAACATTAAAAGCTTGTGAAAGTAGATTGTCGGGGCTAAGCAGGACATTAAGTTTTAGGGAGTCAACATTACAGAGTTTAAGTTTTGTGTAACAGCACCACTCATTCACCAAAATACACACCAAAAAGGGATTTTAGGAGGGAATTTGGACAGCTTTGTTGTTCAAAACGTAATCAAATTTTCATTTTTCACAGATCTATAAGTACTACGCTCTGCTTGCAGCACAACCTCAGCTGGCGTGTCTCGCTTATCTCTGTGTTCAGTTTCCTGTGCTGTTTGTCAAAGGACCAGAGACTGATGAGGTGAGAATGACCACACAATATTTAGATAAGAAAATAATCATATTCTAACATATGTTTTCTGCATGTAACAACAATAATTTGATGATTTATTCCTGTAGAAAAATTAATTCCAACCATGTAAAGCATATTCACAGTAAGCAGCCTCTGCAAAGCAGGAAGTGTTCGTTTAACTCTGTACTCGGCAATCACAAGACACTTAAAAATTTAATACAAAATGTTATGTACTGATTGCAGATTTTGATTGTATTTCTCCATTACAACAAAATAAAAATTATTTTTTTGTGTGTCTTAACAAACAGTAGCAATATTGTGCAATATCTATAAAAGTGGCCATTTAATAATGAATATACATACAAGCAGATTAAGACAAGTTAGTTAAAAATCTAGCATGCCGCGAAAAAATGCATATCATCTTCTGCTTTTATTACCAAAGTTTCAAACTAAGATCACCATGTTGAGAAATTCTATTCAGTTCAGTTTATTTATATAGCTCCAAGTCACAACAGTAGTCCTCTCAGGGCACCAGACAGGAACATGCACATACTGTACATAGAAAAGCCAGTTAGTAAAATTCTCTAACTAAGGAAGCAGCAGACTCATTGAATCTTCACTTCACTGCAGTCGCTCATCCTGAGCAAGCACAAAGGAGACAGTGGAAAGGAAAATCTCCCTTTTAACAGGAAGAAACCTCCAGCAGAACCAGCTCAGGACGAGCGGCCATCTGCTTCAACCGGTTGAGTCTGAGAGGACAGGAAGAAGAGACAGACACAGAACGACAGGTCCAGATGTACTTTCTATTAGAGTTGTACTCGGGTCCAAAAAAATCCAACCTGACCCAGCCCCAGCCCATAGTCATCCCCCCCCCCCCCGATCCGACAAATTAACAGTAAGTACAGGTCCGAACCTGAAAAAAAAGCCCAACATTTTTAATTAAGGTGTGACTGTTTATTCCACCGACTACTATTAACGGTTTGTGGATGTGCTCAGCTGAATAAAGGTGGCAGAAGATCGGAGCTGAGGAGCCGTCAAAGCGCATTGAATGCTTCCCTTGCTTATGCTGCATTGGACCCTACTCTGCCAAATCAGACATTTTGTGAGCTCAACTGTTTGGGTTGTCGGCTGCGTGTGTCCGCTGAGTGCAGCGGCTGAATGAACATCCATTTGGGCTGATGGATTGTAGGCAGTAGTCCATCTGAAGCTTAATTGAACTTTTTACCTCTTTCAACCAGCCGGTGAGCACGCGGTCAAATGGCCACATGCGCTGTTGTTGTATGGAAAGCCATGTTTGCATATATTGGATCATCGGCCGCACGCGTCCCTGACACAATAAAAAGCCCGACACCGACCCGGCCCAAACATTAAGCACATTATTATAGCCCGGATGATCTGAATCCAGCTCGAGCGAGGCCAGGCTCCAGGTTCGGGTTAGAAATGACAGCTCTTCTTTCTAGAGGAGGAAAGACAAAAAAAAAAGTTAAGATAGAAATATTTATAAATACAAACATGTAGAGAAGAGTAAGTAAAGACAGCAGCAGAGAGAGGAAATGTGGTCAATTTGTCCTCTAGCAGTTTAAGCCTATAGCAACATAAGTAAGGGATCCCAAGCCGACCCTAACTATAGGATTTATCAAAAAGGAAAGTCTTAAGCCCAGTTCTTAAAACTGGACAATGTGTCAGCCTCACGGAAAGAGATTGGAAGTTGGTTCCACAAGAGAGGAGCCTGACAACTGAAAGATCTTCCTCCCACTCTACTTTTGGAAACTCTAGGAACCACAAGTAAACCTGCAGTCTGAGAGTGGAGCACTCTGTTAGGAAAACATGGAACAATAAGATCTGTAATATAAGATGGAGCTAGGTTGTTGAGCGCTTTGTAGGTTAGAAGTAAGATTTTGAATTCAATTCTGGACTTGACAGGGAGCCAATGAAGCTAAAACTGGAGAGATATGATCTCTCCTACTAACTCTAGTAAAGACTCTGGCAGAAGCATTTTGGATCAACTGAAGACATTTTAAAGAAGTATTTGGACACCCACATAACAAACCATTGCAATAGTCCAACTTAGGTTGCGAAAAATGCACAGACCAGTTTTTCTGCATCATTTTTGGACAATTTGCTTCTAGTTTTAGTGACATTACGCAGGTGGAAGAAGGCGACTCGGTAACATTTTTAATGTGGGGGATAAAAGACATGTCCTGATCAAAAATAACACCAAGATTTTTAACTTTAGAGCTGGAGGACATGAGAAGTTGTGGCCATTTTAGTTAAAATTTGAAGTAATGTTTTGTGGAACTTCACATAAGTCTTAATCTGGTGAAATCTTGGATTGTCTACAAATTCGTGTGGAAGTGTTGAAGCTTGACAGTGCTCGGACTGAATGTGGAGCTGTGACAGGGAATTGGAGCAGCTGTCATCAGGACTGTGATCTCCCTGGCATCACTCATGAATGGTGGAATAATCTGGAGAAGCTGTGAGCTCGACTTTGGAGTAAAGGATCAATTCGGCTGTTTTAGAGTTTCCATCAGAGAATATGTACCAGCGAGACTTTAAAGGCAGAAACAACAATTCAGGAGTTCTGCCTGACCCAAACTGTGGCCTTGATGCCGGACTTATCTCAACTCCTCCTGGAATGTTTTGAAAACAACAAAGACGCTTTGACTGTTTCCTCACCCCTCCCTCCCCCAAGGCCGTGGACATGTAACAGAACCTCACCTGAGCTGAAGATGAACGTCACCTCTTATCTGGGCAATGGCTGAGGGGGGGCTCTGGACTATGCTACGACTTTCCCTTAAAAATTCAATGTTTTCACCGCCTATATGTTCATGTAAAACGTCTGTTTATGTTGCTTTGCTGTGGTAGGTTTTTTTTACGCCTCAAATTGTGCCCCGTCTAGGACACAGTGTGAGAGATCTTTTTTTTTACCGTCTCTCCTCATGTTTTCTTTCCTTTTCTTATCTAAGCAAAATATTATTCTGAATAAGAATAAGAAGGCCGCGCTAAATATTTTAGCCGCAGCTTCGTGCACTCCACCCATCTTCGGACGACTGTACGTTCATATTCGCGTTGTATCTCGGTACAATGCCAATAAAGTTTATTCTTATTCTGATTCTGAAAAAAAGCAGTCTATTAGCTAGTGTTGGGTGGATCTATCCTAATACTGATATTAATGATTCTGCTGTAGGTATTGATATTGAATGATATTGGTGTAATAGTATTGATACCTTAGTTTGAGCTTTTCAGTAGTTGCTGTGGTTTTGCTGGTTGTCCATGGCTGTCTGTGTCTGTCCTGCTGCATCCAAATGCTGCTCTTGTCACTGCTGCAGTGAAGCAGCCACACTCTGCTCCTCCTCCCTCTCTTGTGCTTTGATGTTCTACTGTCATGTGACTCATGGTCTAGCTTATTCAGGCAAAGCATTGTCTAATTACTAATAAACATTGTCCAGAGTCTGTGCTGGATTATATTTAATAATCTAATGAAAAACAAACAATCATCTAAAGTTCAAAGAATTTTATTCAGATTCAGCAATATGATGCATCCACTTTAATCACTAAAAAGTACCAGTATCTGTATCATATTGATATTGACGATACTGGCCCTTATTTACTTGGATTTGGATTGGTATCAAATCTTGCAGTATCACACACTACTGCTGTCAGCTCTCAGAGACATTATTTAGCCCATTATCTGTAAAACTGATTGAGTTAAAGCCATTTCTGATTTGCGTAAGTCTGATCATCTGTGGAAGTTATCTTGTACAACGGAGTATTAGGTCCATGCTAAGAAAAAAATTACATTATGAGAAAAAAAGTCATAATATTACGAGTATAAAGTCATACTATTACGAGAATAAAGTTGTATGAGAATAAAGTTGAAATATTACAAGAATAAAGTTGATATAACACAAGAATAAAGTCTAAATCAGGGGTGCCCAAACATTTTCCCTTAGAGGACCAAATTTAAAATCTATCAGAGGGCTGCAGGCCAAATGCAATAATCCATGAAATGCAAATACTTCTTTAAATAAAGTTCATTTATTTATTACACAGTTATTTAACCTTCAATTCTGTATAAAGAACATTACAGAACTGGCTGCGTTGTTGATGGTGGTGGTGGGGGGGGATCTGGGGGTCCTCCCTCAGAGAACTTTGAATAAAATAGAGGCCATTTCTTGCATTTTGGTGTATTTTACAAAAATTTCTTACAGTAGATTAACATGAAACAAAAGATGTAAACTCATTATTGAAATCTCTGACTGCAAAGCTGTCACGAATCACGTCCCATAGATTATATTTTCTGTCACCCTGATCACTCTTTAAAGTTTGCTATAGATCTTTTCTGTGAGTTTCATTTATTCTGTCCGCTCTGGTAATGTTTGTGTACGTGAGTTTTAGTTTGTCTTCTTTGCATGCTGGTTGAGGGTGATGTCAAGGTTGTTTAGTTTTGTCTTCACTGCAGCAGCTGATTGAACTCAACTGGCTGCACCTGTCTCTCTCACCCTTTAAAAGCTGCACTCTTTCTCCTCTTCGGTGCCCGGTAGTTGAAAACAGTTCTCTGCAAGTAAATACCTCGCGTTCTTGATCCTGCCTTGTTCCCCCATAGTCTTTCACGTTCCCTTGTCATAGTTTACCTGTCTCCTCATTCCTGTCCTGCTCCTGGTTCCTGTCCTCCCCTCTTGGCTTGACCTCCCTGCTCCTGGACCCATGACTCACCTGGACATCGTCTCTCGCTCGACCCTTTGGATTATTACATCTTCTGCTTTCGGTTCTGACCATCGCCTGCATGACAACGCCTCCTAGTCTTCTCCTCCAGTACCACCTGTCTTCCGCTCTCCAGTTTTGGACCTTAGATTGTGTGACCACGTCTCTTCGCTCAACGGACTCACCACCCACCTGTCGCTGCGGCCCCTCACCGGATTCAGCCTCTCCTGCAGCAATCTGGACCAGTTTGGACCTCGTCAGTCTTCAGAACCCCCAAGCTCATCTGAGACGGTTACTGGTCTTCCTCATTCTGACTTTTGCTCTTCATTATCTCCTGCATGACCACGAACCGATCTCTGTCTCATAGACTCGTTCCTGATCCGGAACAAGAACCCAGTATGAGAACTGGTCCAATCTAATATACTTCACATTGAAAATAAATCTAATTTAATTTTGACTATTTGTGTGGTGTTTTTGGTCCAACCGTTAGGTGGTTCGTTACACAAAGCTGCAGCTCTACAGGTAAGGGGCGTTCACTTCAGGACAAATTGAGGTTGCTGATTGGTCAGTTGCTGACATGCTGGATTGATTGACAGGTGGCAGGACTCGTGCAAAAAAAAAAAAATCCTAGATTTTACTGGTCTGTTTAAGACCTTTTGTCATTTATTCCATATTCAATATTTTGGTGAATCTAAGGTTTGAGAACTGCTTCCTTACAAAATCCAAACAGTTTTATTTTTCCAGAGCTGCTGAGTTTAAATTTGGGGGTGCTTGAGCAGCCCCCAAAAGAGGCTAAAATCACTACTGAAGCCAGTTCATATTTATAATTTAGACTATTAAACGCTTTATGTGTGATTTATAAGTGTATTTGTGCAGGATCAAAGGAAAATGTTGTTTAGTGGCAGGAAGCTGTGGGAAGTCTGTCAAAATAAAATACAAATTAGTAAAATTAAATGATGCACAAAATAGCCACTCCAGCTGTTTAGTGCCATTAAGGTAGTCATTGGGCTGACTTTCCATTTAGCATTTACATAAAAGTCAGAATGACTGCGTGTAAACACATTGACACATCAAAGGAAATTTTTATATAGTAACGTGGACAGCTTGGTGGGCCAACCTTGGCCTGTGGGCCCCACTTTGGGCACCCCTGGTCTAAATAATAAGAAAATGAAGTCGAAAAAATACGATTATACAGTTGTAGTATTACAAGCATAAAGTTGTCTTACGGGAATAAAGTTGAAGTAATGTGAGAATAAAGTCATATTACAAAAATAAAATCTAAATACGTGAATAAAGTTGTATTACCAAAATAAAGTAGAAATAATACGAGAATAAAGTCATAGTCATTATGAAAAAAACTCATTACCAGAATAAAGTCGTAATATCAGAACTTTGACACGAAAAACAGTCTTACAACTGTCATAAAATGAAAAATGCTGAGCATCTTAAGTTATACTTTGGTTCTGGTTTTTCAAGGAAGGGAATACTTAATCTGTTGGCACATCAGATTATCAGTATCAGGACTTTGAAACGATTGTGCAAATGACTCTGTTTCAAAGAAGCAACCACACGGATTTGGAAGATATTGCTGCTTTTGTAATATAATTAAATAATATATTGTCATGACTTTATTCTTGAAATTTTGACGTTTTTCTCGTAATAATTTTTTTTTTCTTAGTTTGACCCTAATACTCGATCGTAATCTTGAACTGAATTAACCAAAAGATAATAATTAGGAGACGCTCACAATTATGACTTTATTATGAATTACTATGTGTCCCTGTGATGGACTGGAGACCTGTCCAGGTGTCCCCCACCTCTCACACAGTGACAGCTGGATATGGGCACCAGTGACCCAAAAAGGAAGAAGCGGATAAAGATAATGATGGATGGATGGATGGTTGGATGGATGGATGATCTGATCAGTTAGCAGTCAAAATGTGTTAGGAATGATGCTCAGCTACTACCACACCCAACTTTAGCTCAATCTCTGTAAAACTGGATTCAACTTGATTTAAGACGGCTGCTTCAGCTAATTAACCTTAGGCAACATACAAATGGCTGTAACTCAGTTATAGATGTATTTCTGAACATTTTAATACAATCTGCCCAGTGGTTCATGAGTTATTTTGCTAACTCTGTGGACAAGAAAACACCAAGAAACAAGCTAAAACACAATAAAACACCTGTATTTAGCAGTTGATATCAAACTAACAAAATGTTCCTCCTCTGTGCTTGTTTTGCAGGACCTGGACAGCAGTTACTACACTGAATATGTGAAGTCACTTCTTAAGAAGAAGTCCTCGACTGTCAGGTGAGTGGAGATAAAACTGGACAAGAACTCACATAAAAATGACATCCCACATGAAAGTTTTATAAAGAGATTAAATATATTTTTGAACTTTTAGTTCAGTGCCCAGAGATGACTTCTGTTTTGATTTGGTACTATATAAATAAACTGAATTGCATAAAAGCAGAATGCTGAAACATACCCAGCTGCCATGTTAATTTGTTTCAAATTTTTTGTTTCTTTTTAACAGAAGAAAAAAAGAAGAAAAAACTTTTGGTGCTAAATGGTTTTCTTTCTGCTCAAAATTTGGAGAGTTGACTCAGAAATGGCTAACCTTAGAACATTTCTAACAAAGACACATGGCTGACCAAATGTTCTTTATGTGGACAACAGCTCCTCTGCTGCAGACACACCAGCCGTTTTAGAGAGAATCCTGGAGGTGGCCAAGAGTTACATTTATAGACCTGAGAGAGGTGAGTTTTCCTCTGCAGGTTTTTTCAATAGGTGCACAACATAAAGCTAAAAGTAACATAAAGCTAAATGTTCTGAAGTTAAAATTTTTAAAAGTTCATGTTTTTTTCTTTCAGTGTTTCGTTTCCCACTAAAGCTGGCTGTGTCGTCTTTGGTTGCCTGTTTGGCCATTTATCACGTACGTCTCTGGGCCAAAGAGTATTTATAGCTTTTCTTATA